TGGAGAAGCAGAGCGGGGCCCTGCCCGGGGCCACCTTGTCCGCTCCCGCGCGGGCTCAGACCATTGCAGCTGGGCTCTGGGGGCTTTGCCGCCGGCAGCAGCCCCTGCTGCCCTCTGCACGCCCGTTTGCGTGGGGCCCCGGGAGCCCGATGCCAGGAGCTGGCGGGCATCCTCGTGCTGGGCGTGTCCTCATTCTCGCGGCTTGGCTCTTGGCTGCGTGGACGATTTGAGTTTCCACGAAGGTCAGTGTATGACTTTGTTCCGCGTCCCAGGCTCCTCGCCAAGGCCAGCGCCGTGCCCCACCCCCACCCCGACTGTGGCTGTGAGTTCCCAGCCGACTCCCGGCCCCCTCCGGCCTGTAGCTCCCAGCCTGCACGTTGCGCAGACTCAGCGTGGGACCCTTTCCTCATCTTTCTCTCTCAACAGAGCCGGTGGCCGCCGCTGCAGGCTCTTCTCGGGCGGGACCCCTCGCGAGGGGCAGCACCCCGGCATCCCGCCCTGCACAGTCGTCTCCAGCGTTCCAGGAGCAGCCTGGTGCGGGGGGGCTGGTCTGGGGCTGACCCCCGGAAACACAGGCACACGTGTGGGGCAGGCTGGGGCAGCCCAGTGGCTGAGCCTCGGTCTCCGGGCGCATGGGAGGCGGCTTCCTGGAGGAGGCGGTGCGAGGGGACTCTGGCCTTCAGGGTCGGAGACGCACTGCCCCCCAGTCAGGGCTCGTGAGCCCCCATGCTGGCGTCGGGGACCCTGTACCCCGAGTCCCCGCACCCCGGGACCTGCCTCTGGGCCCATGCACCCTGCCCCACCCCTGGGCCCCATCCCCTGCCCCCGCAACCCCGTCCTGGGCCCGACTGGGGTGGGTGTGATGCATGTGGCATGCTGCATCCTTCCTCCTGGGGAGTGCGGGACAGTGCTGCCCTCAGGCAGAGGACATGGCACAGGTAGGCATGGAACGAGTGGTGTAGACACGCTGTAGACTGACCCGGCTGTGGTGGGTACTGTGTGGTGTAGACACACTGTGAGCTCACCTGGTCGTGGTGGGTACTGAGTGGTGTAGACATGCTATGGGCTGACCGGGCCATGGTGGGTGCAATGTGGACATGGTGTGGGCTGACCCGACCATGGTGGGTATTGTGTGGTGTAGACACGGCATGGGCTGACCTGGCCATGGTGGGTGCCGAGTGGTGTAGACACGCCCGGCCACAGTGGGTACCATGTGATGTAGACATGCTGTGGGCTAACCCAGCCATGGTGGGTACTGTGTGGTGTAGACACGCTGTGGGCTGACCTGGCCGTGGTGGGTACCGAGTGGTGTAGACATGCTGTGGGCTGATCCAGCCATAGTGAGTGCCAGGCAGTGTAGACAGAATTTCCCTGCCCATGGGCAGATGTGGGCAGCTCCCTGCGGAGCCAACAGACCTGTTGGTGGCCCCAGCTGGGGACACGGGGGTGGACCGCGATGACCTGGCACCAGTGGAAAGGCTGACAGGGCCTTCCTGAGTGTGGCCGCGACTGGGAATCGGGCTTCTGGAGGGTCATATACGTGGGCGTTCCAGGAGGCCTGGCTGGCCCCGCTGCCCGTCTGAGAGGCCTGCCCGGAGCGTCAGCCCTCTCGGCGCCTTCTAAATATACCCTCGGAAGCACTTATCAGCCCATTGGGGGGGGGAGGACGGGGTGTCCCTGCAGTGTGGGAGTCGCTGAGGCCTTGCTGAGTGGGTGATGGGCATGGACCCATGGGCAGTGCGGGGGGACAGCAGCCTGGACATCCCCAGGGGTTGCCCAGCGACCCGGGACCCCACGCTGTCCAGCATCAGGGCCTGCGCTCCCCGGCTGTCCTGCCCTGTGATGGGCACATGTGGACAGTCCTGGGGTCACTGTGGGGGTCAGCAGCCGGACTTCTGGGCACCCCGTCTTATCTGGACATGCGGTGGGTGCAGTGTGGACATCCTGACATACATACGAAGGGTTGGGGCAAGAGTGGACCCATCTTTGACCCGAGTTGCCATCTGCTGGGGGAGGAAGCCCCAAACCTGTGCCCACGGCCCCTAACTCGGGTTCTCGCTGGCCCCCCCCCCCCGTGGGGGTGGGCCTGAGCCCCAGACCCTTCAGCTCGGGAAGGGGCAGGAAAGAGCGGAGCGCTTGGGCAGGAGCTGGGAAGGGGGTCAGGGAGGGGTTGCAGAGTATGGGGGTCCCTCAGGGCCCCCTCGGTGGCGGAGAGTGGCCTGTGGGAGGGGCCGTGTGCCCAGCGAGGAGCCCCGGCCCAGCGACTCAGCCCAGGGGAAGGTGGGGTGCGGGAGCCTGGGCAGGGCTCCGGGCTCGGGGGCTTGGGGACACGGACGGGGAGCTCCTTCCTCGGCCACATGGTCACCTGCTGCGAACCTTTGGAAGCAACTGACCCTACTTTGTTGCAAGGGATCCCAGAGCACCGGGTGGGACAGCGGGCTGAGTGGGCGGGGTGGCGAGCCGAGTGGGCGGGGCAGCGACCGAGTGGGCGGGGCAGCAGGCTGAGTGGGCGGGGCAGTGGCATTAATGGGTGTGGCAGAGTGCAGAGTGGGCGGGGCAGCGCCGGCAATGGGCGGGGCCGAGTGCGAAGTGGGCGGGGCAGCACCAGCAATGGGCGGGGCAGAGGCGGAGTGGGCGGGGCAGCGGGTTTGGTGGTCCAGTGCTCTGCGCCCGGCTGGCCCAGGTGCTGGACCCCGTGGGCCTTCCAGAGCAGGGGCTCGGACTGCCTTTGGCTTGGTTCCAGAGCCCACAGACTGGCGGTGGGGGTGAGGGCATTGGGGGACAGAGGGCAGTGGGAGAGTGGGGGTCTTGGATCGGGATGGGTGGATGCGTGCCCCCAGGTGATGTGGTTTGGACCAGTCCACCAGCTGCCGACCATGTCCACACACACACACACACACACACATCTCTCCCCGAACCTGCAACTCGATACTTTACACGTGGGGCTGCCCCCCCACAGCGGGGGTCGAGCTGAATGGAGGGTGCAGCCACCCACCAGGCCAGGGGACACCAGAATTGAGGGGCGGTCCTTCCTTGTCAGGGGCTTGGGGTTCCCTGAGACGGGGCCAGCCTCAGACGTGGGGGCCCAGGACCGCCGGCCTGGCTGGGCGAGAAGCACCTTCCTCCAGCCCTGCTGGCCCAGCCCTGGTGTCCTCAGGCAGCGGCCCCAGGCTCTACTCGGGGAGGGCCCTCAGCCCAGGGCCTCCACTGTCTGTCCCTGTGTTTTTCCTGGCCGGGACTTCAGGTGCTCACACACTCTCTGGAGGCAGCGCCAGCTCCCAGGCTCCAGAGTCAGAAGCCGAGTGTCCCGGGACGCCAAGGCTCACTCGAGTGGGTTCGCGTCTGCACCCGGGGCACGTGGGGGGGGGGGGATGGCGCTCACACCGGTGGCCCCGCGTCTCTCCCGAGGCTCCGTGTGGGGCCGGGGGGGCGCTGCCTGGCACCGCCGTGCATTCCTGCCCTGCTGGCACCTGGAGCCGTGATGACCGATAACATTCCACGTCCCCAGGCCAGCCCTGGCGTCACGCGCCCCAGGAAACAAGCGAGGCATTGTTTGGGGGTGGGGTGGGGTGCTGCCCCCTGCCCGCAGACAGACGCAGACCCCACCCTGCCCCACCCCGAGTCCTGGAAGCTGGGCAGGGGTGCCCACCTGCCCCTCAGCCAGCTCAGAGAATGGGGGGGGGGGGACGAACTGCCCTGGCGGGGGACGAGAGGGAGGAGGTGGCTAAAGGGGCGCAGGCAGCAAGTGTCATTCCCAGGACAAAGGACATGCTGCAGACACGCAGCACAAGGACGGCCCCCAGGGAGAGCGGACAGGTGTCCAGGGAGAGGGGACAGACTACCTGGGAGGGGGGACAGGCCTCCAGGGAGGGGGGACAGCCCTCTAGGGAGAGGACAGGCCTCCAGGGAGAGGGACAGGCATCCAGGGAGAGGGGACAGGCCTCCAGGGAGGGGGGACAGGCATCCAGGGAGAGGGGACAGGCCTCCAGGGAGGGGGGACAGGCGTCCAGGGAGAGGGGACAGGCTTCCAGGGAGAGGGGACAGGCATCCAGGGAGAGGGGACAGGCGTCCAGGGAGAGGGGACAGGCCTCCAGGGAGGGGGGACGGTCATCCAGGGAGAGGGGACAGGCTTCCAAGGGAGAGAGGACAGGCTTCCAGGGAGAGGGGACAGGCATCCAGGGAGAGGGGACAGGCTTCCAAGGGAGAGAGGACAGGCGTCCAGGGAGAGGGGACAGGCCTCCAGGGAGGGGGGACAGGTGTCCAGAGAGAGGGGACAGGCATCCAGGGAGAGGGGACAGGCCTCCAGGGAAGGGGGACAGGCATCCAGGGAGAGGGGACAGGCTTCCAGGGAGAGGGGACAGGCATCCAGGGAGAGGCGACAGGCTTCCAAGGGAGAGAGGACAGGTGTCCAGGGAGAGGGGACAGGCTTCCAGGGAGAGGGGACAGGCCTCCAGGGGGCAGAGTCAGGCGTCCAGGGAAGGGGGACAGAGCCATCATGGGAGGGGCCAGCACACAGGGCAGGGATCCAGGGTGGGTGAGTGGCCTCTGTCCCCCAGCCTGGGTCTGTCCTGCGGGAGGCGGGGCAGTCCCTACGCTCCTGACAGGGAGTTCTGGGTGAGCTCGCACGTTTGGGCTGGGCCCCCGCGGTCCTGGTCCCGAGTGCCCGGCGGGCCGTGGAGCTGGGGGCCCTGTGGGCCTGGCCTGGCCGTGTGTGACATATCTGACAGGGGGTGACGGCGCTGGCAGGGCCCCGAGGGGGCACGACTGCGGCCCGGGCAGGTGCTGGGCTGGGTGAGAGGGTGGCCGGCAACACAGGGGGGGCCCAGGGAGCCCCACGGTTGGTGGCCCCGCGGCCTCAGCGCAGAGCCCGGGCCCTGGCTGTGCGTGTCCTGCATGGTGAGCGTGTGCGATGCCCCTGGTGGCTGGCGCGGGGGAGGTGCGGGTGGGCACGAGGGCAGAGCGGGGCGCGGCCCGCTGACCCGAGCACTGTCTGTCCACAGCTTCCTCATCGTCCTGGTGTGCCTCATCTTCAGCGTGCTGTCCACCATCGAGCAGTACGTGGTGCTGGCCACGGGCACTCTCTTCTGGATGGTATGTAGCTCCCCAAGGGGGCTGTGTGGGGGGTCACCCCATGGGCCTCAGGGGGCAAGGACTTGGCCCTGACATGGGGACACTGGAGGTGGGGGACACCTGCTTTCCAGGGGTGATGATCGGAAGGGGAGGGCATTCTGGGAGGACTTTCTGGAGGAGACGTCCTCTGTCTGCAGGGACCCGCTGAGCCTGCACTGTGGCCTGGGCTGGTCCTGGGCACAGTGGCCGTCCCCTCCCTGCATCTCTGCTCCCGCTGCTCTCTTGGCCTGTGCCGCAGCCCCAGCCCCACAGAAGCGCGTCGGAAGTGTGCCGGAAACGTGCCGGTCTGAGGACGCAGATCCCACTGCCGTCTGGTGCCCTCAGAGCAGTCGGGGGACCGGGCTGGGCCCTCCTGGCCAGGGTGCCGGGTGGGTGGTGTGGGCGCCTCAGCTTGGCTGTCGTGTCCAGAGGTGGGCACGGGCGTGTCCCGGGGTGTCCCTGCCAGCGAGGGGTGGGTCTCCTCCACACAGAGCCCCAACAACGGCATCTTCTGCATCCGGCACGGGACCCGACCCCGTGTGACCTCCCACCTGTCCACGGCTTCCTGCCTGACCCGTGTGACCTGCCTGAGCACTCAGCCCCCCTCCCGCCCACTCTGGCCTGCTCCTGCCCGTGGAGCATCCTCCTGGCAGGCACAGAGTCCTGTGACGTGGCCCAGGTGTCTCTGCCCCACACGGCCTGGCTCCCCGTGCTCCTTGAGGCCAGGAGGGGGAGCACCCAGCCCTGCGTGCACGTGTGTGTGTGTTTGTGCATGCATGTCTGTGTGGGTCAGCAATGCAGGCATGGTATATGCATGCATGTATGCGTGGTCTAGTGATGTGTGCATGTGTGTGCATTTGTGCATGCATGCGTGTGGCCCAGCACTGCATGCATGTGTGCTTGCATGTGTACCTGGCCCAGTGCAGTGTGTATGTGTGTGTGCATGCATGTGTGTGTGACCCAGTGCTGCGTACATATGTGTGCGTGTGCATGCAAGTTCCTGTGGCCCAGTGCTGTGTGCATGTGTGTCCATGTGACCCAGTGCTGCGTACATGCATGTGACGTGGCCCAGTGCTGCATATGTGTGTGTATGTGTGTCCATGTGGCCCAGTGCTGTGTACGTGTGTGTGCGTCCATATGTGTGGCCCAGCACTGCATGCATGTGTGCGTGTGTGCGTGCATGTGTGTGGCGTGTATGTGCGTGTGGCCCAGTGCTGTGTGCCTGAGTGCTACCCGTCACCCCTGTCACGGCATGTGGTGTGGGGACTTTCACCCCAGTCCTCTGCGCCCCCATAACCTGAGCTTGAACTCGAAGGCTGATCTCTGGCCGGGCTCAGGCCTTTCCCCGCTGTCCTGGGAGAGTGGGGGTCGCGTCTGGTCCCTGTGGTCTCTCCTTTGCTTCTGGTTGGGGTTTGGGCTCGGGGTAGGGTGTGTGGTTAGAGGTTAAGGTTTAGTCAGGGGTCCGTTGGGGGTTAGAGCTTCAGTCAGAGGGTGGGGTTAGGGTTAGGGGTACGGTTAGGGGTCAGGATTACTGTTGGGGTATGGGAAAAGTTAGGGTTACGGTTAGGGGCTGCGGTTCGGGTCAGCTGGGGCTACCCACTGTTAGGTTAGAGTTATAGTTCATGTGGGTGTTTAGGGACAGGGTGATGGTACAGTTGGGGTGAGGGCTACAGTTTAGGGGTAGAGTTAGGGCTCTAAGGGCGTAAGGGGTGCAGCTGGCTGTGTTTAGGGGTAATGGTAGGGCTCAGTTAAGGAGTGAGGCAGGCAGTTGGGGGTATAGTAGGGGGTTTGATGGTGGAATAGTGGCATTAGGGGTCAGCAGTGGGGAGGGCAGGGGTCAGGATGATGGGGTCACCGTCTGGGGGCTGATAGCGGCAAGCGGTTGCGGCATAGTTTAGGTTAGCGTTAGGGTTGGGTTATGGTTATATAATGGTTATAATGTGGATTGGGCAGTGGCGGGGTTAGGTTGGGATTAGGGTTGTAGTTAGGGTTAGGGCTAGGGTGTTAGGTTGGGGTTAGGGTTGTAATTAGGGTTAAGGCTAGGGTTAGAGTGTTAGTTTGGGGTAAGGATTGTAGTTAGGGTTAGAGTGTTAAGTTGGGGTTAGGGTTAGGTTGGGGTTAGAGTTGTGAGCAGGGTTAAGTCTAGGGTTAAGGGGGCTGGAGCAATAGCACAGTGGGTAGGGCGTTTGCCTTGCACGTGGCCGACCCGGGTTCGATTCCCAGCATCCCATCTGGTCCTCCGAGCACCGCCAGGAGTGATTCCTGAGTGCAAAGCCAGGAGTAACCCCTGAGCATCGCTGGGTGTGACCCAAAAAGAAAAAAATAGGACTAGGGTTAGGGTGTTAGGTTGGGGTTAGGGTTAAGGTTAGGGTTGGGTTAGGGTTAGGTTTGGGTTAGGGTTCGGAAGGGAGCCAGGGTGGGGTGTATGTGGACAGGCAATGGCAGGGTTAGGGTGGGCGGTTGGTCCACGCAGGGGTCGAATCAGCTCGCCTTTCTTGTTCCTGTTGAGACCCTGCCGTGTCCCCATCGTCCTGTCCCCTCTCCTGGTCACTCCAGCTGCTGCTCCCTTCCTGGGGCCCCTCTGCGCTGTTCTTTGTGTAGGGACATGCCTGAATCTGGCGAGTGAGTGTCCGCCCGGTGACTTGTTGGGGGAGACTGTTGGGGGAGGTGAGGCTCCCGATATTCGGGCTTCTGGGCCCCATGTGGTCCTTCCTCGGTGGCCCCTGCTTGCATCTTCTTGGCCTCTCAGCCATTGGCCACTGCCAAACCAGGGTCCCGCAGAACACGCGGCCCCCGGACACGAGCTGGGCTGGAGCGGGAATGTCCTCTGGGACATTTTCCGTCACTGCTGGGTGCCCAGGTGACAGCTACTCTCATGGGTGCCCATGCACTCCTGCCACTGGCCACTACCCGCAGGTGAGGTGTTCAGACCTGGCAGTGGCCAGGACTCTGCGCTCTGTACTGTGTAGGGGGCGCATGTCCATCCATCCGTCTGCTTCATTTCTTCATCTGTTCATCTGTCCACCTGTCCATCCTCCTGTCCATCTGTCCATCCGTTTGTCCATCTTGCTGGTCTGTTTCTCCCATGCCAGTGCTAGTTGCTGGGCCCCTGGACAGCCCACGCCCCACGCCCTTGCTCCAGGCTTGCCCAGGCCCCCGCTCCTGGGCCCGGAGCCCGGCTTGTCTCTCTGAGTGGACGTGTCCTCACTCCTCTCCCTGGAGCCCGGGCTGGGGGTGGGCACAGGGGACCCGCTTCTCCTGGTCACCTGCCCAGTCCAGACACGGGAGTGGACTGTGGGGGCAGAGCTCACGGGATGCCGGCGGGGACCTGGGGCAGCCCTCCGGGACTCTGCACTACAGGCCAGGGTGTGTGCAGGTGTGTGTGGGCCGCGTAGGTGTGTGCAGGTGTGTGAACCCATATAGGGTGTTCAGGTGTGTGTGTGTGTGTGTGTGTGTGTGTGTGGCCCACATAGGTGTGTGCAGGTGTGTGTGAGGGCCGGCATAGGTGTGTGGGTACAGGTGTGTGTGTGTGTGTGTGTGTGTGTGTGACTGGGTGCAGGTGTGTGTGTGTGTGTGTGTGTGTGTGTGTGGCCCACATAGGTGTGTGCAGGTGTGTGTGAGGGCCGGCATAGGTGTGTGGGTACAGGTGTGTGTGTGTGTGTGTGTGTGTGTGTGACTGGGTGCAGGTGTGGGTTTGTGTGGGTGTGAGGTTTGTGTGGGTTTGAGGTGGGTGTGCCTACACTCACACCTCCCTCCCATCCATCCCTCCCCTCCGTCCCTCCATCCCTCCCCTCCACCCCCCCATCTCCTCCCTCGGCTCCCTCTCCCTTCCCCGCCTGCATCTCTGAGGCTCTTTCGCCCCCTGGTGGCCGGTCTCCACACTCCGCTCTCTCCTTCAGACCCACTAACGGGCTCACTGTGGGTTGCCGAGGGCAGCGAGGGGGTGTCCTGCACCCCACTTCTTTGGGGGCTGGTAGGGACCCCAACAGACAGCTTCCCGGCCCTTCTGGCCTCTTCCTGCCCCCTGCCGCCCCCCCGGGCTGTGTCCTGCAGAGGTGACGGGCCCACCTTCCCGTGGCAGCCCTGCCTGGGGGCAGCATCCTAAAGCCTGTTCCCGGGCCTGGCTTGGGCGCCCCACGAGACCCTGTTCCGCGCCCGCTGCTGGCCGCATCTCTGTGCTCAGCCCTGTGGCTCTTCCTCTGGTGATGCTCAGAGCACAGTGCTCAGGTGGCTTCAGTCTGAACCAGGCCGTGCTTGGCCTGCTGGTGCCCCTCGACCCCCTTCGTACTCAGTAGGCCCCGGTGGGTGCTGGGGACCCCCAGGCAGGGCCAGCCGAGTCTTTCTTTAGATGTTTGTCCTTTGATCCCTGTGCCCAGAGCCGCCCCCGGGATGGCGCTTGTGCTTTGGAGCCTGGGCCTCGGTTTCCCCAACTGGAAAAGAGCCTCTAGACTCCGCACCGGCTAGACTGAGGTGGTGGGGGGGTGGGCAGGGAGGCGTGTGGGTCTCCCCCAGGACGGCCCTTGTGCTCTGGGGCCTGGGCCTCGGTTTCCCCAACTGCAGAAGAGCCTCTAGACTCCGCACCCGCTAGACTGAGGTGGGGGGGTGGGCAGGGAGGCGTGTGGGTCTCCCCCAGGACGGCCCTTGTGGTCTGGGGCCTGGGCCTCGGTTTCCCCAACTGCAGAAGAGCCTCTAGACTCCACACCCGCTAGACTGAGGGGGGGGGTGGGCAGGGAGGCGTGTGGGTCTCCCCCAGGACGGCCCTTGTGGTCTGGGGCCTGGGCCTCGGTTTCCCCAACTGCAGAAGAGCCTCTAGACTCCACACCCGCTAGACTGAGGGGGGGGGTGGGCAGGGAGGCGTGTGGGTCTCCCCCAGGACGGCCCTTGTGCTCTGGGGCCTGGGCCTCAGTTTCCCCAACTGCAGAAGAGCCTCTAGACTCCACACCCGCTAGACTGAGGGGGGGGGTGGGCAGGGAGGCGTGTGG